TTTTTTAGTTTATGCAGGTTAGGGGGCCAAAGAAGCTTTGTTTTAGTGTAACAAATTAAAGTGTCAAAGAATTGTTTTATTTTTCGTAATGACTTGAAAATATCGTTAAATGTGCGATTTTCTGAAAATTCCTTTCTTGCCTATATCTCAGATTCCTATCTGACCTCTTCATTCACCATTTTAGAATTATTTTGCTTTGCTTTTTTTTCAATTYTTAATTTGGGGGGCGATTATCCAGTAACTATAGAAAGGAATTGTACAAATAAAAACGTTGAAAATAAAACTATTAAAAATGAAATCGACTTTTAATCCTGAAAAAAAAAACAATTCTCTAAATTTTTTAATCATAACAAACGTTCATACAGGGTGTCCCTGCGAGTTAAAAAGTCTATTAGTGACTTTTAAATGGTGAAATTCAAAAAAAATGAAACACCGTACGAGTATTGGCATTTTTGGATGTAGCCTTTTAAAACTAAACTTTTATTAGTCGATTTCGCTTAGTTTTAGAAATAATACTTTTGTTTTGACGAAAACATGCACTCTTTATATTACACAAAATCTTACTTCTGCAAATGTGATTATTAAGTGATATTTCTTCCATCTCTTGTGCAAATGGGCACTTTTTGGCTACYGAAACAATGGTAATTATTTACCTAAAAGTAAATAATTTCCACTCGTTTTTTAAACTTAAATTCGTGCTTCAAGACATGTCTATGGAACTTGTTTTTCAGTAAATAAAAAAATGTTTAAAATGGCATTTTAATAAATAAATTGTCGACATTCAGAAGGATATGCATATTTTGCAAACGAGTCTGAAGACTGGTGTTTGTCGAGAGTTTTTACCGCGAAACACGTATTTTTCTAGCTTATGCAGGTTAGGGGGCCAAAGAAAGCTTTGTTTTAATGTTACAAATTAAAGTGTCAAATTGTTTCTTTTTTCTTAATGACTTGAAAATATCGTTAAATGTGCGATTCTCTGAAAATTCCTTTCTCGCCTATATGGCATAGAAGCCGTCCAGTTTCTGCATGTCATCCATCGAAATATTTACAATTTCCGACCGAGTTTATAGATCGTCGTCGGCAACACAATAGACTCCACCAGCTGGTCGGCTTTTCAGTGAAGGCATGTGGCAAAATCAATATGAGCTCAGTGGCGCGGACTTGCGGCGATGCCCGGAACCGTTATTGTTAACATCTCGCCGATATTACATCACCATATTACATTTTAATATCGAGGGTCCACAACCCTGGAGAGTGAGTCGCGACCCTTTAATTGCTTTTTATCGACTTCTTAGTGTGCCGCAAGAGTCTCCCCCCTTGCTATTTAATAAATTTGAAATTTTGTCAAATTCCGGGAATTGGTCCTCTCCAGGTACTAGTTTTGCACCTGGTGGGTAATTAGTGAGGGCGCCATCTAGCGATGAACATTGTTCAGGTGTGCCCATGAATGGGCCTTTTTCCATTGACATGTCGATATATTATTATTTTTATTTTTTCGCCATGCAAGTGTCAGAACGGCTTTGAGAGAGGAAGTGACGCGGGGGGCCATCAGTCACGCTGACACCTGGAGAATGCGACGACTTCCACGAATTCACAACCGCCGTGAAATATCGCTACACATTTCTCGCTTTTGAACGACTACGACGCTCATTTTTAAGCGTCATTTGTTTTATGGTTTGCTATTGTGTGTTGATTTTAGGTTTAGTTTGGTGATGATTTATGGGTGGCGAGAGGGGATTTGAATTCTTCAACCAAGACAGAGGGGCACCTGTTCTGATAAATGGACAAATGGACACAACACACATTTAATGGTTTTTTCACTTTTTCTTAGCACTCTTATCTCAAATTCCTATCTGACCTCTTTATTCTCCATTTTAAAATTATTTTGCTTTGCTTTTTTTTCAATTTTTAATTTGGGGGCCGATTATCCAGTAACTATAGAAAGAAATTGTACAAATAAAAATGTTGAAAATAAAACTATTAGAAATTGAATCGACTATTTTTATCCCGAAAAAAAAAACAATTCTCTAAATTTTTTAATCATACAAACAATACAGTGTCCCAGCGAGTTGAAAAAGTCTATTAGTGACTTTTAAATGGTGAAATTACAAAAAAAATGTACATATAAGACATTGAGAGGTACTAATCTAGTGCATCACCTAACATTGTTTTCAACCATACAGCATGTGCCAAAAATAAGTTACGATACAAACTTGTGTTTTTTTAAATGAAACACCATATGTTTTGTGGCATTTTTAGATGTAGCCTTTTAAAACAATGTTTTTACGCTACTCTTTTATTAGTCGATTTTGCTTAGTTTTAGAAATAAGACGTTTTTTTGACGAAAACATGCACTTTTTATAAATTTATTACACAAAATCTAAGACAGCTAGAACAAATTTTTTCTTACTTCTGCAAAGAAGAAAGTACAGAATTTAAAGCTGCAGCAGTTTTTTAGTGTTTTGCAATTGTAAAGATTAATAAAGTAAGTTAAGTAACTGAATGGGACACCTTATTTTTTATCTTTACATCTAATAGATTGATAAATTGTCTATCTAAAAAATAAATTTTTAATGTCTAGAATTGATAAATGAAAAGATTCACATTTAATAATAATAATAACATTCAATATTAATTGTAGCAACAATGCCTATCAACCATAGTAATTCCACCACGGATCACTAATTTGTTGATTTATCTAGAGATTGTAAAAGTCGTTATAAATACTGAAATTCGAATTATTTTAGGTATTGTAAAAATAAAGAATAATGAATTCAGTTTAACACAAATGTGATTATTAAGTGATATTTCTTCCATCTCTTGGGCAAATGTGCACTTTTTGGCTACTGAAACAATGGTAATTATTTTTTTTAGTGTTTAACGTTAAATATCTTTTTAGTTATTGATTATAAACACCTAAAAGTAAATAATTTTAAAAAGACAATTTAATAATCTTTTAAATGCAAAAACAATAAATAGGTTGTTCCATTTAAGTTTTTTAAGTTATTGAAGTTTTAACAAACGCCTTCATTTTTTTATTTTTGCAAATGCAACTCACTAAAAAATTGTTACAACCTTATAGCTTGTACTTTCTCTTTGCGTTAGTAAAAAAAATATTTCTAGATGTCTTAGTTTTTGTGTAATAAATTTTTAAAAACTGCATGTTTTCGTCAAAAAAACCGTCTTATTTTTAAAACTAAGCAAAATCGAGTAATAAAAGTTTAGATTAAAAACAGTGTCATAAAAATCTACATTCAAAAACACTAAGAGACCTAAAGTGTTTCTTTTAAAAAGCACATGTTTGTATTGTAACTTATTTTTGTGACACGCTGTATAGTTGAAAATAATTTTAGGCGATGGACTAGATTAGTAGCTATCAATGTCCGATATATTTTTTTTAATTTTACCATTTAAAAGTCACTAATGGACTTTTTCAACTCGCTGGGACACCTGTATGTGTTTAACCTTATTCAGCAGCAATGTTTAATAGAGTCTTAGATGTTTTTCTATTTTGTTTTTTGTTCTCATTTCTTCAACTTCTTTAACACAAGTTTTTGTGAAATTAAAATTCATAATCTCAAAAATCAGAATATTTTTTATGTTTTTCGACGTAAATCTACTAATGGTTGGGAATTTAAATTTGACGAAGAAATAGTATATTACATATCGAGTTGGGAGGTGCTTCATTACTATGACCAACAACCACCAAGGTTTGTAGACTCCTTTATGCAAAATCATCGTCTTTAATGAACAGAAAATCAAAACAGAATATATCAAATTTTAAAAATCATGACATATGACAGTTCAGGTTGGGAAGTGGCAATTTTTCGATATGAACTGTATATTTCATATCAATTGTTTAACGAAGATGAAATGTCGTACTTTCTAACTTCTCACGTGCAAGGAAATTACTTTATTATCACCGTGAATAAAAAAAAACTATATAGTTTTACCGCCTACTAGATAAAATTTATTAATGTTAATTATCTGTCAAAATTCTCAACTTGATTTAATTGTATACCTATTTGTTTTTTGTTAATATTAAAACGTTTTTTACTTCAATGATTTTTTTCAAAAACTGTGATATTTATTATTTGGGTGTTGTCATTTTGACAATTAAAAGATCTATAGAAATGGCTAAAAAATTAGGGACTTCCAAATAAAAAAAAAGTAGATGACGTCATCAAAAAGTGTAAAATATTAAATCAAGTGTGTATTTTTTAGAAAGAGAATTGACCTCTTCGAGCATTTTTGCCACAACAAAATATTTTCAATTGTAATAAGATTATTCCATAATTTTGCGATGTTTAAAGAATGTTCAAAAATTCACGAACATATGTCTTGAATAGTATCATCGGTACCTGTCAATTAATGTCACTCCAAAATCTCAATTTTGGAGCAAAGTCCTATATTTCTAAGGCTTCTGATGAACTCATTTGCATATTTTTTAAAATTTTGATTTTTTTATTAACTTGACATGGCTTTGTTTAGCAAAGTCAACACGAATATCGAACAAATGCCTCGATTCTCTCCCGTGTTTTACTTTAACTTTTTTCTAATGGTCGATTTTTGTTGCAGATGTGTCGGCGAATGTCCATTTCGAGGTAAGTCACGTGACCTGAACGTATTTAAGTCTGGTGTAATTGAAAGATGGGATTTGGTCATTGTGAACGGGTCTCACAATAGATGAGTATTTTAGTTCAGGGAAGCGGAAGAAGCTGGACAATGCGCGGATTAAGCGACTTGAGATGGACGTGCGAGTCTTTGTTAATATTATAAATATGGCGCCGGATGCGTTTTACCACTCTTGAAAAAAAAAAATAAAAATTTGTGTGGGTTTGTTAACGAGTCATAGTCAGCCAGTGCATTAATTTATTCGGGTGGTGAGGGGATGAAAAATAATCTATTTTCTTTGTAAACTACTTTAGACGGCGTTCAAAGCTGTCGCTTGTAATTATTCAAGTGGGTGTAGTGGCTGCTGAACTTGTAAAGCTCTTAAGTTTTGTTGGCAGGCCTGAGTTCGCTTTACGGTTGCCAACTTCGCCCATTAATTACTGCACAAGCGACTTAACGGAACTGCTTCTTACTTGTCCATTTTTTCATAAAATTGGCGCAGTCGGTAGGGAAAAAATAACTAAACAAAAAAAATCAGGTGTAATCGCGGTTTGGTTTTATCGGCGTTTTCTCTTCTTCTTACTTGTCCATTTTTTTTTATAAAATTGGCGCAGTCGGAAGGGAAAAAATAACTAAACAAAAAAATCAGGTGTAATCGCGGTTTTATCGGCGTTTTGTCTTCTTCTTACTTGTCCATTTTTTTATAAAATTGGCGCAGTCGGTAGGGAAAAAATAACTAAACAAAAAAATCAGGTGTAGGTACCTACAGTTGTTCCGCAATTTACAAAATAAAAAAAATGTAAAACTAGCGTTAAAAACTAGTGTTTTTGAACATGTCTCAGATTCGATTTAAACCTATCTTATCCGATAGATTTTGACGCGGTCATTACGAATTTTCCAAGCATTTTGCGCTATCTCCTTTAGTTTCGCCATTATTATTTTTATTATTTTCTGTCATATGCAGAGAAGGTCAGTGCTCTACCATAAATAGTTATCGAGAAATTTTGTGATAATTGTTTTAGAATAATTCTATTACTATTACTCAAAATTAATTGAAGACCAGTGGCGCAGGAAAAGATAGAGTTTAGGGGGTATTTATCTATGTAAAAAAATGCGCACTTATTTATAATTGTAAGATGTTAAAAAATATTCTGTTACTTTGGGGACCTATGTTTATTAAGACTTTTTTTGGCTGTTTTGGTCCGTACTACTACCTCCTGAAATATTTTTTTTCTTAACACCCTGTGTGAAATGTATATTTCATGCTACTTTTACTTTATTATACTTTATATTACTTACCTTTTGTTTTCACTAATGCACTTATGTAAATCATTTGTATTATTAGTAATAATAACAATAATTAATAAAAAAAAATCCTTAATTTTTAATGCAAAACTTACCTTTACTTATATTATTACTGTTAACTTTACACTATTTTCTTCACTTTTGTAGATGCTTGTTTTAAAGTTCGCGCTCTTAAACGCCCGCCATCTATTGGTGCTTATTTAGTTAGTATTGTGCGCTTTCTTTCTTATACATATTAGAAGAACATGTGCACATGTTTTTAAAGATCGCGCTCTTATGCGCCCGCCCTCTTTTGACATTTAATTTAATTATATTTGAATTTGAATTTGAATTTGAATTTGAATTTGAGAAAAATTGCCGACTTGACCGGGGCTCGAACTCGGGACCTACCTGCTGGAAAGCGGGACCTTATGCCGCTGAGCTACCACCGCCGCCGACAACGTCAATGTTCATTCAATATTCATTCAAACACTTACACAAAAATTTTCAAAAAATTATTTTTGTTTTTGTGCTTTTCTAAGTCCCCCAAGAGTGCAAATGGATAATTTTAAAGTTTTTAATTTTTTCGGTTTTTGTCGAAATTTTGGGCGATTTTCGGTATCCGGAGCCGTCTAATGCCAATAACTCCGGACTTATTGGAGATAACTTCTTATGTTTGGTACCGTTGGAAAGAAAATTTAATTTTCTATCATATACAAATCAGTGCTCTGCGATAAATAGTTATCGAGAAAATTTGTGATAAAGTCAAAAATATCAAAAATTTAAATACGTCTATAACTTAAAAACTATTACGAATTTTGCAGTTTTCTTGACGCCAATCGATTCCCTGGAACATTTTACATATGTTTAGGTCAAAATATTGTATTATTGAGATAGGTATTTGCGGTTTTATCAGCCTTGACTCTTCTTACTCCATTATTTTTTCATAAAATTGGCGCAGTCGGTAGGAAAAAAATCACAAAAAAATCAGGTGTGTTCGCGGTTTTATCGGCGTTTTCTCCGGTCCGTAAAAAGCGGTTTAGATAAAGGCGCCCTTATCAGGGTGTTGTGTTCGTCGGCAGCGATATTTTCTCGTTTGGCTCGGGTCGAGCCATAATGCTTTACATAAGTTAAAATTATCGGACATCTCTGCCCACACTATCTCATGCATACATTTATCCTGATTTACGAGGTGTACAAGGGCGATAATTGCGTCCATCTTGCCCGATTTTTCGCGAGAAAAGCAATGTTGTGGAACTTGATTAGGTGCTAATGAATTGTGTTGGCGGTGTGGACAATTGGATTAAAGCTTGCCACCCCGAGACACACACTCAATGTGTTTTTCGATTCAATTATGGTACGCCGATAGGAATTTTAACTGGGGGTAGTGCAGTTTCAGATAAGAGGGTTTAGGGGAAGGAACGAACGAAGAATGAAGATGGAGGTGCGCTGCATTTTAGAATTTAGAGAGGCGACCGGGACTGAGCTGAATAAAAATCGACTTTATTAGATTCAGAACTAAGGCTAATCTCACTTAAGGCACTTAAGGGACCTTTCAATGTGACTCATAATTACGTTTGCGAGCAAAACTTATATTAACAGACAGAAATCTACGAGAAAGTTAAAGCACAAAAGACGATTAGTTTAATTAGGGTAGGGCCGGGAAATATAGACCATTTTCTGGAAAAAAAATTGAACCACAAATATCTTACTAAAACGTGATCACTCCAACGCTCCTTCTATCCTGTGTAAAAATTAATTAATCATCTCTCTCGCACAAAATAGCAACCACGGAGTAATTTTGTTAGACACTATAGCAAAAATATCAAACTTTAGAGAATAAACGATGATGAAAAATGAAAATTCAATCCAACTTTTACTGCAACGGAGGGCTTATTTTTGTTAATTAATATTATTTGGGCCAAAAGTCTATAAAAATGAAAATAAAAAAATAACCAGGAGTGCGTTGAATTTCAATCATTCAATCTGACACTTCTGACAGTTGGCAAAAGGGTGACATAAATAAGTGTTGTTTAACACCCAAGAGCTCTTTATTTTCTTCTTTTCTTCTTTGGCGAAGAAATGTTAAAATTAAGGTTATTCTGACATTATGAGATGACGGAAATAATGTATGAAACATACGCCAAAAACCATGTAAAACCCAGTTAATTTGCACACTGGTCTTGAAATAGTTTGGTAGTGATTTGTGAAGTGTTGTTTAAGACTATAAATAAAAGCTCAATATAAAAGAAATTTGGCCCAGGAATGTGTAATTTAATTTTTTTTTTTTATTTGAGGTTATGACATGAATTTATTATTTCTATCGACGTAACAAAAACTAGATGAACCCACTGAACTAACAAAAAATAGATTTCCAGTTTAGTAGCAGAAAAATTATGAAAATTCATTAATTTCAAAATTTAATTTAGTTATATAAAATATTTGCAAATCAGAGAGTACTCGTTGAAATAAATATAAATTTTGACAAAATTTCATTGTGTGAGTTTTTATTAATTATACAGGGTACGCCAGAACTTGCGCACCAGAGAAAAATGCTTGTAAGATAAGATACCAGGAACATGGAAAAAATGTGAAAAAATTTTCAGATTACGCACAATTGCAAATGCCAACAACAATTTATTTTTCCTTTTTTATGAATTTTGAAGGTTTTTTAACGAATAAAAATTTTTTAGAATATCCTTTTAATCGAGAATTTCACTGGATTTGAATGATTTAGAAAAAAACAAAAAAATGCAAAATTTTTATAGATTTAAGGCATTTTCTATGAGGAATTTACTAAATTCAAGATATTAAAAAAATAAAGCAGAAAATTCAAAACTAGATTTAAATATATTATATTTCCTATAAAGTTAGTCTAGAATGCCGCTAATTTTGTTAAATTTAGAGTGTTTTTCAGCGAGAAATTTACAAAATTTGCGAGATTCTGCCAAAACAAAGCAGAAATTTTGGCAAGTTAAAGTCAAACATGAATTTTTTTTTGTTAATTTTAATTCATTTAGAGTGTTTTACTAAAGCAAGGCAACAGTCACCATCAAATTAGGTCGGAAGTGTAGTATTTTTGCTTTTTTATGAATTTTCAAAGTTTTTACAAAATAAATACCGCAAATAGCTATTAGAGCGTTTTTTAAACGAGAAACATTCTAAAATCCTACGATTTTAGCATGTTTTAAGAGATTTAAAGCGTCTTTTATTAAGAGATTTACTGAATTTGAAACGTTACAAAAACAAAACAGAAAATGGCAAATTTAGGTCTACTTATAGGATGTTCGAAAAGTCGCACACCTCCGTGCCTTAGACAACAAGAAAAATTTTAAATCTATATAAATTTCAAAGTTATTAGAGTTTAAATTTTGCACATTGACTCTATTTATTTCTATTGTAAAAATAATTTTCCAGTTTTTTTTGCTACAGGCTTTTAGAAGAGGGAAACAAGGAAGCAGTATCCTAAATTGTTCTATGTTATTTGTGGCTTTCATTGGCAAACTTTTTGTATCTTTACTAATTGTAAAAAAACATATACATGATTATCAGTATCATTAAACAGACATAAAAAAATGCCAATTGTCAAAAAATAAATGTCAAAATCTTTGACAAGGAGAATTTTTTAAACATTTTTTCCATGTTCCTGGTATCTTATCTTTCTTGAATTTTTTTTTTTGGGCAAGTATAAAATACTTGCAAATCA